TATGCATCTGGGTGTGTTTTACATTTTCACCCTCTAAGCCTTGTACTGTACTTTGGCATTTTGTGTCCTCCAACTTTGTAGATGCGCATCCTTGTTTCCAAAGAATTCCTAGTGGCAATTGAGAAGAAGGTTCTTAGTCAGCGTCCTTCTTGGCGGGTCAAAGCTGCGAAAGTCAATCCCCTATGCGATTCAGTTCTTTTGATATCTGATCATTCAGTTTTTCTGCATGGTAGTTTCTGACTCTCCAATATCTTTGTTAGAGTTCCTGTTTAATTAAATGGTAGTTGTAGAATTAAGTTGTGAGGTACTTTTTATGCTAAGAGTTGTTCAGATATGGTTAAAGAGGGGCTGAGCTAATTTTGTTTGTTATGATGATAAATTCTCCTTCTGTAATATGTGTGATTGTGTTTTACTTTTTTCTTCCTCTTTTTCAGTTTTGTGTGGTTTTTTTTTTTGGGCCGCTGGGGGGGGGGGGGGGGGATGGGGGTTTGCAAACAATTTTTGGTTCATTTACCACACTTGTTTAACATTATTGCTCTCTTCTATTTATTTGAATAACAATAAGAATACTCAACTTAAAAGGGGTTGGTTCAATATCCTTTTTGAAATTGTACTAGATCAATCACCGTTGTTACATTGTACGTTTATCTTTTCAGGTACACTTAAAGGAGAATTTAGCTTATGTGTGGAGATCAAGGTGATTCCATATTTAAGTTTTTGTTACCTTTTGAGTTGTATTAGCTATTCTTGGTGTTAAATGAAGTAATAAATTTGCTTCTATAAAGTAGCCAAAATGTGGATTTCTTCCAACTTCAAAATTCATTGCGGAAGGAAATGCAATTAAAAGAAGTGTCACTCGTTTCAAGATGCATCAGGCTCTAAAGTTACATGATAGGATGGTAAGCTTCCAATCTTCTGGTATTTTAATCCTGAAGTGAAGATAATATCTATCAAGATTTGTTCATCTACCATCTTCAATGAGTGGCTTTTGTAATTCTGCTTGTTTTCTTTGTGGTGTCAACTTATATGTGAGTCTGAATACCAATAAGTCAACATAATTGTAGTCTATCATTTTTTTTCTTGTCTATAATGCATCAGATATCAGAGATAAGCGAGTATGATCCACTAGATATGTTCTCTGGATCCAGAGAGAGAATACACAGAGCGATCAAGGCCTTGTATAACACTCCACAGAACAACTTTAGGGTTTTCTTGAATGGTTCTCTTATATTTGGGGGCTTGGGTGGTGGGACTAAAAGTACTAATTACATGGTTGGTCAAGACTTTGAAGATGCACTTAAGCACGTCATTATGGCTGAAGATGGTATGCGTACAGAGAAACTGCTCGAGCTCATCACTGAGGCACTTTTTAGATCAGGATTGTTGGATCGACTTCTTGAAGTCCAGAAACTTGATGCAATCGACATTGAAGGGGTCATTCATGCATATCATGACATTGTTTCTCAACCTTGTCTGGTATGTAGAAAGATGGATGCTGATGAATTTACAAATAGATATGCTACTTTGCATTCGATGCCAATGGAAGAAAGCTTAAAGATAGTTAGAGACTATTTAATTGCTGCAACTGCAAAAGATTTGAGTATGATGCTTAGTTTCCAACCCCAACAAAGAGGGGATGTGGATTCTCCAAATGGTGCTCTCTTTCTGAAATCAACCAACCAAAGTTTTGACCTCAAGGTGCATAAAATTCTCTATCTCGTGAAATATTTTGCCTTTGCCTACCACAGAGTGATGAATTTTTTGGAGTTTCTGATGATAGTCACTGTCACTTTGTTTATTGCTTATCTTAAAGTGCTTTCTACAGTTTTGTTCTCAGAGTAAATTGGATCATATATCTCAATTAACATTGGCTCTGTTTGGATTGTAAATTATTTGAGATATTTTTACTTTAGCACTTTTTGTGATGTGATGTATGTGAGATAAAAAGGTAATTGGAAAGGTAAAAAGGTGTATTGAAAATTGTAATGATGATAGTAAATTATTGAAAATTGCACTGTTATAGGAATACAAAAAATTATGTTGCTTGCATATTTAAGGATCTTATGTTGGTAATTCCTGGTTTTGTAATCATTTAACAATTCCTATACCACTGGCATGTTGACAGTATCTTCCACTTTCTCTACAGTAGTTTGCCTAATGTTGCTGACGTGTTAGGAGATCAGTATTCTGCTGATTTAATGAAACTATGACTGATGTCAGTCACTGGCATTTGTGTTGCATCTTGGATTCATTGTTTGATTGTATTTCATACACCTTCATCTTATGTAGGTATCTTTCATTGACTTGGATATGAAACCTTTTAAAAAGGTGGTGTATTACTATGAGTTAGACCAGCAGATTGTTCATTTCTATGTTCAGATGGTGGAAACAGAGCCGTGGCTTGAGATCAAGGCAAGCAATCAGGAAATGCGAGATTCAAATGAGTCCATTCTTCTGTAATTGAAGATGATTCCTGTACTAAGGATGTTGCAGGTAACCGATAGTAGTATGAGTTGTTATTTCTCAATGACTAGATGAAACTTTTTTCCTGGGCTTTATGCTACCCCTCGAGTGTTTAAGATGATGCATAATGAAGTCTTTCTTTAGAGTACTTAGTTGTGGGATCCTTGTGAACTATGTTCGGCTTTTCCTATTCTGAATTTCTTGATATGGTAATACTGTACACAAGCGCTTCGTCCAGTTCACTTATTTTTCTCAACCATGTCATGAATTTGAGGCTGTGTAGTACATTGAATATACAGTCAAAAACAAATGAAAAGCAACTATAGTTGGGTGAGTGCGTGTACTAAATCATAGTCATAATCTTCTTCATTTTGTTCTCTATGCTAAGTTTTGTTCCTGTAATTTAGTTGAAATTGGAAAGTACTCCTAGTAAAATGCCATAGTTTGTTCCTGTAATTTATTTGAGGTAGGAAAGTACCCCAAGTAAAATGCTGCCACCCAAAGCTATTTGAACAAACTTGTTGAGGAGTCAATAGTTCTTTGAATGCGCTTTAGTGACTGCATTTTGCCTTTGGTTGGATTCTGGTGATGTTAATATGCTAATGATGTTGTTGGTCATAAATGGCTTAATTAGTTGGTTTTTTGAGTTTTTTCAGAGATAGGAGAGTTGTTGAGGAACATATGTTGAAAGAGACATGTCAGAAATTTTCACCCCTCACTGGGAAAGTGATATATCAACTACTCTGTTGCTTTGCCATGCCAAGACCACATGAGCTATTTACTCAACACAGCTGGAGACTGAATTAATCATGATGTACACAATTATGTAAAATGCTGAAAGTCAAGAAAGTATCTTTTCTTGACAAGCTGCAAATGAGTGGATATACTCGCATATCTTACTCCAGTGTAATTTATTTTTATCCTTCAAGTTTGAAGGCGAGTCTCACACAGTGTAACAATTTTGCTGTTGTAATTTATTGTTGTAAAATATCCTGAACTCCATGATGGGAGGCTTATGAACCCGATGTACCTCCATACTTATTTGTAGTGATAGCAAATTGAACTTTTAGTCAAACTCATGGGGGTTGACATGGTGTGCTACTAGTTGTCTAGACCACAAATATGAATGAAAAATGGAAATTTGACTGCTGATTATTGCTTTTCGTATCGTCATAACACATTGGACATGTACATGGGTCTAAACTTGTGCAATTGTTATGCGTGGAATTGAGGGTGCGTGAGTAGTAAAGTGGCTTCCAATGACTCTTCACAGGCATTAGGGAAGACACTTTCAGCTTTCAAACAAGTTCGTCTTCAACTTTATTGTAGTAGTCACCAGTTCTCTATTCAGTGCTGAGATTAGATGTCCAGGTCCCTATTGCTGGACCATTTTCTGTTTATACACATTTGTATATCCCCTTGACTCCTGTTTCTGATTATTCAAATTTCATGACTCTAGCGAGTTGAACTGGTACCCATTGAAACTTTCTGGCTTTTGACTGAATCTATGGCAGTAACTTGAGTAAGAAAACAGGATCAGTTTAAATTAATTTGACCATGTATCTAGTTTTGTTTTTGCAAGTCTAATTAGATTTTGGAGTAAATTACAGAATTTTGGTTGTTGTGCTGTGCAAGATAACAAAGTCATAGTTGGCTTCCATATCAGAGCAGAATAAACACTTGGCTTTCGAGGATGTTCTTGAATCGGCTGTGTAAATGACAATGAATGCTTGCTCCCTGGTCAAGAAGTTGGCAAGCTGTCTGGTAGCTCAAATTACTCAATTTAAAGGTCTCTCTCTCTCTCAAGCAAGCATATATATATATATATGCGTGCCTGTGTGTGTCTTTTATGAATTCTTGTGCTTGGAAGTAATGGTTCTGGCTACAAAACTAGCATTAGATGATTTACCAAAAGTCTGATGTTTGTAAAGGATTTCTGTTCTCTGCAAGATATGATATTTGCCACTTAGAATTATTAGTGCTACAATATATCCTGTGTAGTTGTTGTTTATCATGTTTATTGTATGGCACTCAGAAGAAATCCGTTTGGGCATTGGAATAATCATTTGATGGCGATTTAGAACAATCTCTAGGTTTTCGCTGAAGTTGCATGTTTGAGGGAGTTTACTTTGTGAAAATTTCAGCTTGCTGCAGGCTACTTTGTGACATTTATGCATGCAACAGACCCCTTACACGCCAGTGGAAGATAAGGAAATAGGCCCCCCCCCCCCTCCCCCTCCCCCGAATGATTGCATGTTAAGAGATCTAAGGCTTCTTTGCCTGGTTGTGTAATTTCATGATGCCATCTTAGGGACAGTGGTGCAACAGGCGCGCACGCACATACACACAGACTCATTAAATGTAAAGTTTAACAGGTAACCCTCTGGGAACATACTGACTTGCATTTACTCTCATCCACCAACTAAGACTGTCAGTACATTTACTAATATGTAGCAGAACTGTATGAAAAACTAAAACAAATAAGAGACGAACAATTAGAAAAAGGACATAATATATACAAAATGACTGAATGATTTCACAGTACAGATATAAAATATGTAACTTGCATTTTTAAATTAACTTCAGAGTTCAGAACAACATTTTAGCGTTCCCTACTCTTTGCGCTCGGTACCATGTCATTGATCTCGAAGGTTTTCTTATTTGCTTTGAAGTTTCAATTTTCAATTTTACGTTTTTTGTTGCTTAATGCAGTATGTGTCAGTGCTTGATGCAGCATATCTGTCTGTCCTGAGTATACTAAATGTTAATCAGTACTTGAATGCTAGTTTCTCCTCAAACTGACTGACACTTTGCAGTACCTTTTGCTGCTCATCTGATGTGGCAGAGAATGTATGCTTCTAGAGTTCAGAAGAAAAAGTGACCAAGTAACTGTTTCTCTTGATTTCATTGCAGAAAACAGTGGTGTCAGTGGATCTACTCTGTTCAAAATGCAGAATGAAGGTCATGAAGTTAATATCAAAGATAGAAGGAATAAATTCTATTGTCCTTGACCCATCCAAAAGTACAGTAACAGTTATTGGCGAGGCAGATCCAGTATGCATTATCAAACAAGTCAGGAAGTTCAGAAGAACTGCACAAATAACAAGCATTGGTCCTCCCAAGGAAGAGAAGAAGGATGACAAGAAAGATGCGATTCCTTCTCTGCGAAAAACATGTCAGAGATGTGATGTTTGGTACGTGATTAGTGATGATTATGACGGCCACTGTAACATTCTATGAGCACTTCACGTGGGCCAACTTTCGATGCATCCATGCCACCATACTCCCTTGAGTCGGTAAGCTAAAGCAAGAGTCTAATGCTCCAGTCGTCGCCAAATTCTTTAGTTCTGATATTTTATGTTCTTTGAAGTCTTTCCTGTTTTTAGATGTTTCTGCATTGGAACAATTAAGTGCTGCTTTGGAGATAATTTGGGTGGCTATTATCTGCTTAGCCTTCAACCTTTCGCTGTAACTTGCTTGGTTCGTTTCATTTCTTCTGCACTCTACCTCCTTATGGCAGACGCTGAAAGGGGGGATTGAGTTGTCCACTATTTTCTCATAGGGACGTTATGGTCAAGGTTCTAGTTTCCGCTCCCATTTTGCTGGTCTAGCGTTATGAACGTCCTTTTCTTGATTTCTCACACGAGATAGTTTCCAGAATGCGACTGGTTTATCCTTTGCTCTCATTCTTTGCCCTTTAATTTCTATTTTTCTCATTTGGAACACTTTGTGGAAAAAGCAAATAACCCTTCCTTACATTTGCACGGTAACTGATTCAACAGCCCTAGCTTTTTCTTTTACCCCCAAAAAAAAGGAAAAAAATAATGTTGGTTGGTGAGAATGGCAAGGACGGATCATGGAATCCGCAACGTTGGTTGTGCTGACAGAGTTGCATGCAGCGTGTGCAAGATAATTCTATATTCATCTTGGTGAAAGATGATCATATTCTGTATTATTACAACAGTAATAGAGTTTGAAACTTCTAATGCTTTTGGTGAAGTATGTTTCAAATCCAAAACCTGCAACTTCGAGCTTCATAACAAAAGAAGAGCAAGAAGTCCTTCATTTCTTTCTTTTGATGATGAAGTACTTTTCAACTGAAATCTAAAGCTCGAAATCTCAGCTCCATCAAATAGTAATGTTGAGCCAAATAGTCATATTCTAAAAAATGTTGCGAAATGTCACTATAAAACATATTTTTAAGCACCTCTCTGTTCCAAGAAATCTTTTTTTTTTTTTTTACATTTACATAATAATCATGGTGAAGGTAGTACTATTACGGTAGAAAAAATGTCGCGTTTTTAAATCTACTAATGATTAGTTTTGGTGGGTAGTATGAAAATATCATGTAAATTACCTATGCTCTCAAAGATTTGTAGATTCTACAGGTAATCAGGATCGAAATTGTCCAAACTTTTTATCAGTATAAAAATAAAGGAAAGAAAACAAAGAGTTTGTCACTCAAGAGTTTGTGTGCTCAATGCTTATTACATACATGCCTTCTCTCGCCCATCACGGGAAGTTCACGGATCAGGACTCTTATACAACCAATAATGGGAAATTAACTCTACTCTTGCTCTCAAACTTCCATTTCAAAAAATTGATTGATGGCTTTTGACTAACTTCGTTTATAGGGGGAGCGGATGAGCTCTGGTCTGGTCATCGTATCCCAGACCAAGGAAGGATGTTGTCTGTTTTCTAAGGATGTCGTAGCAAGTAGAAGTGAACTAGCATTCATTTATCACGGATTATGTGAAGACCTTGTCCAATCAAATCAATTTAGCAGTGGGACATACTCCTTCCAACATCAAAACTACAAATATGCTCCATACATACATCATGATACAACCGTCGTAAAACATACATACGAGGCTTTAGATTGATTTACATTTATAACAAACATAAGTTAAAGGGAGGGGAAAACGGTCCATATCATTTGCTAAATCAATCACCGACATGAAAGTTCAGCAGTAGAAAAAAAAAAAAAACATGTTGGATATAAAGACTACTAATAATGTTTTGTGGACACATTTTCGGATATCCTAATGATCATGATGATGATGATGATGATTCCCCACCTTTCCACATTCAAATTTCCTTTTCTTGTTATTCCGTTTTGTCTAGCCAAATAGTAAAACTTTAAAGCTTTGCAAGTCTCAAGGTTATCCGCATTTTTTATCTTTTCTGCGTGATATATTTGCAACTAAATCTTACATGAATAGCCTCCAAGAAATGAAAACTACTCTAAATATGTATCCCCATAAATTGATTAACATCCGACCATACAAAATTTTGGATGAACCCAAACGTCAACAGGATATAAATGCAACCACATTTCTCAAAGGAATGGTGCGTAGCACCATACTGGTGTAGCAGCTCCTCCTGGATTGACCATCGGTTAATTCCTAATCAATCATTTGTTATTTGCACTCCCAATCATTTGTTTTAGCATAGAATCTGATAGATGAAATCTATATGATTAAAATGAAAATACGAGCATGATTAATAAAAATGGAAATACATACTGCAAATAACATTTCTCCAAGAATTTTATCGCATGACAAGAACAGAAATAAAGGTTAGAACAGTAAATGAAGAAGTTGAAATTGATAGTACACAAGGGAGAGGCGGCGGCACGACTTTCTAGAACCTGGTGGTGTCGTGTATTTCTTGCTCAAGGGGCAAACGAGGCCCTACAGAAGTCGGTCGGCCTTAAAAGTTCTGAACATAAAATCATAAGCAGGAAGAGGAGAGATCCTCGCCGATGATAAAAGCTTGCCCTTCAAATGCAAACAAGAACAATATGCATCGGACTCCACTATTTTTTTTATTTTTTTTTTCGGTTTGGAATTGTCTCCTCAACAAACGACGAATTGCTCGCGTGTGCGGAGGACTCTCCCCACTTCCACCTGTATAATAAACTAGCGTCTGATGCTTCCCAAGTTTCACCATCCTCCACCGTCAGAGCTCTCAAGTTTCTGAACCCTTTTCACAAATACACACACAACACCTACTAGCTCGGGCCAAAAAAAAAAAAAACAGAGGAAAAAGTTGATGGCTTTTCACATGAATCTTTGCCATCACCAGCTGCTATTTTATCTGCGGCCACTTCCATCACGGCCACCATTGTTCTCATCAGAACCTTGAACGACCTTGTCCCTGGCGAGTTCCAGAACTGCTTCTCGTCGCGTTTCCGGAAGCTCTCCAGCTTCCTGTTCCCCCACCTCACCGTTGTCATAGAAGAGTTTGATGGGCTTACATTGAATAAACTGTACGAGGCAGCCAATCTATACCTAGGCACCAAGATCTCCCCTTCAACTCAGAGGATCAAGGTGAGCAAGTGTGAGAAAGGCACCAAGATTTGCTGTCACCGTTGATAAAAATCAAGAAATCCTCAAGTCTTTTGAAGGAGTTGAGCTAAAATGGATCCTGCATTGTACCCCTGTTAATCAACCTAGTCATGCTGACATGAGGCTAAAGCCGAGGTCAGAATTGCGATATCTCGAGTTGAGTTTCCATAAGAAACACAAGGAGATGGTGTTGGAAACTTACTTGCCACATATCCTAAAGAAAGCTAAGGAGATCAGGGACGAGATGAGGGTGGTGAGGCTACACACAGTTGATTATGCTGGCACCGACTATTGGAGTTCAGTGGCCCTAAATCATCCAGCAACTTTTGATACACTAGCAATGGATCCAGAGAAAAAGAAGGAGCTTATAGAGGATCTTGATAGATTCATAAGCAGGAAGGACTATTACAGGAGAGTTGGCAAGGCTTGGAAACGTGGATATTTGTTCCATGGACCACCTGGTACGGGGAAGTCAAGTTTGGTGGCAGCTATGGCTAATTATCTCAGGTTTGATATCTATGACCTGCATCTGGCACAAGTGCAATGTGATTCAGATTTGAGGAGGTTGTTGATTGGGTCGGCCAATCGGTCCATACTTGTTATAGAAGACATTGATTGCAACGTTGGATTAAAGAGCAGGGAATATCATGATGGAGAATTTGAGGATGACAATGTTAGTTTGACACAAGTCATGCATCCATTCATTATCAGTAAATGATAAGCTCTTAAAGTGTGAATGTAACTAATCATATGTATTTGATCTTCCCTGGTTATGTCTTGTGCAGATTACCCTATCTGGACTGCTCAACTTTGTTGATGGCTTATGGTCCAGTCGGGGAGACCAGAGAATCATAGTGTTCACCACCAACCACAAAGATAGACTGGATCCAGCCATGCTGAGACCTGGTCGAATGGATGTGCAGATTGAGATGTCCTACTGCACTTTTAGTGGTTTCAAAACACTTGCTCATAATTATCTAAAGATAGAGGAACACAATCTATTTGGGGAAATTGAAGAGCTGCTGTTGAAAGTCCAGGCAACACCAGCAGAAATTGCAGGAGAGCTGATGACGAGTGACAACGCAAATACTGCATTGCAGAGCCTTGTCACACACCTCCAGATGAAGGAGAACAACAGCTGAAGACTTCAAAGTGAAGGGACTAGAAGTTGGTTCGCTAGATGTCATTAGCCTACCTTATAGGTTGTTAGCCTTTCTGAGTTGAATCTGTTTATGCAGCTTAACATACCATTAAACTATAAATTCGCTGAACTTTTATGTTATTACAGTGTCTTTTTTTTATTTATTTTAATAAACACTTTAAAGCACTAGATTTTGATCTTCAAAGTAAAGGATAGAGCACCTTTGCAAAACATGTAACTTCACTCCTGCTAGCTACCAAGAAAAGTTGAACCTATAGCGTCTCCATGATACAAAGAATCCTGTTCCAAGTTCGAATATTGCTCTTTATCTCCAAAATTATCCGCCATCGCCGTGAACTACCATGAACAGGAAAAGACATTTAAGTTGATAAGAGTGCAAGCCACAAAAAGATGGATAAGTAAACATGCCTTCGGAAATCATGGACATTAAAATGGACAGATGTCAAAAACCCTCTATCAGCGCAGAACTATTAAGTTGGCATAACTGTCCTTGTTTTAAACCTGATCTAGAACCAGAGGAGCTAAAATTACAAAAAGAAAATATAGAAACACTCACTCGAAATTAACTTATGAACAGGTCATGCCTCTGTTACGAATACCTCCAGAAGCTCCTTTAGTGTGAAACTATACTGCCATTCTCATTTCTATCTTCTGATGAGGATCATAGCCTATCAGCTCAAAGTCAGTCGCAACAAATGAATCTATGTCTTTTTTCTCCGGATTGATCTTCAAAATCTGTTTATATGAGGAATAGAATATTAAACCCTGGTTCAGAAAAGAAAGAGGAAATGCTATAGACTTTGTATTTGGGCAAAAAAACTAATGAGAGCACTGGCTAGATTCTTTAACTACAGAAAATCCATTGCCATAATTTATCAAAACAAAAACCTCATTATAGAAACTGAACCTCTCAATGAGGAGACAGAAAACCATCTTTTCTCCATGATTGAACAAAAATAAATGAGAATTCCAGATGAAATGCCAACAGCATAGTCACATATTCAGTTCAACATACAATGTGGTCAAGCAAGCTTAAGACATGGATAATTACTCTTTGCGCTCGCACAGCAAGGGACATTTCAAGATATTAAACGTACTAAAAAGTATATTTACTTACTGGGAAAGGTTTAGGAAATTTCTGAAGCTGTTCTTGAAGAGGAACAACATGAGTCTTGTAAACATGAGCATCTCCTATTATATGGATGAAGTCACCAGGAACAAGGCCTTTTGGCAGAAATAAATATTAGAAACGGATTAGACTAAGTTCATTGGATGGATGAAGAAAATTCGACAGATAGATCATCAATCATCTAGCTAATCGGAAAATAATCTGAATAGCAGAAACATATAAGCATTCATGTAATGTTGATCCCTGAGTATGTAATCAAACACATACCACAGACATGAGCAATCATGCATGTCAAAAGAGCGTAAGATGCTATATTAAATGGCACGCCAAGGCCCATATCTGCAGAGCGTTGATACATTTGACAGGATAGTTCCCCATTTGCCACATAAAACTGCAACAGATTATTAGCAAAATTGATATAATAGGAACCAAAGTAGAAGTAAAAGCACACTGAGAAATTTTTTCTGGAGCGAGAAGCATGTTTCAACCTGTGCAAACATGTGACAAGGTGGTAAAGCCGTCAACTTCAAATCAGAAGGATTCCAGGCAGAAAGAACAATACGCCTATCGTTGGGGTTTTTCTTTATCCTATCAATGACATCTAACAACTGATCGAATCCTTGGCCTTTATAGTCGGCATGCATACCAGTGTATCTGAGAAAAACATTGTTCTCTAAATACTTCCTCATAAAAAGAACACAAGCTACTGATAAGTCAGGATGTAACTGCTAACCGGGCACCAAAGTGTCTCCACTGAAACCCATAGATAGGTCCTAAATCACCCACTTCTCTGTCTTCCAGGCCAATACTGAAAGAAGCCCACCAGGGATATTCAGTAACTGCAGTGGAGTAAATACAGTAGGACTTGTTACAGATTTTAGTTACCTGTCAAGGTATTCTCTGGATGCATTGCCATCCCATATATGAATTCCCTTCTCCTGTAGAACCTGTAAACCACACAGATTCTTCAAGAACTTTTCTCTAAAATGGAGAGCACAAACAAGCACCTCTAAAATTTAAGCAGGTTAATTATCAAACGTACAACACATGGTTTCTGTTTATTCATAAATGCGCTCAAGCAGTAACATGAGCAACATGGGTGAAAGTCTAGGGAGCCCAAATTTAGTTCATTAATTTTATCTTTCCACATATAAGGTGCTTGATGGACCAAAAAGTGGGGAAAAAATTTGTGTCCCTAGTTGTAGACAGTTACTAAGGTGATTTACTTGCTTCAAAATGCAATTTGCATGGCCAAATGAATTCCAAAGCAGGAGACTTCTCCACCTTTCCAGAACAAAAGATAGGTAACAATGATCTTCATTCTCAAACAAACATATCTTTTCAATCTGGGGAAGGGGAGTGAAGGGTAAGCAATTCTGTGGGAGTTCATAAAAATTACTGTACTTTTTTCTTGATAACAAGGCAATCTCTAATGGTCACCTTTGCATTTGTTGAACCACTGATGAACCATAGAAGCTCTTCGACAACACCTTGCCAGAATATTCTCTGTAGGATAAAAGTTCCATTAGCAGCATATAGGCAAAAAAATATTGATTGGACATTTAGGTATGAAAAAGGGCTTTAAGACTCTGGGGGGTAGAGGGGTGAGATAGTTTGATGAAGCTTGGAGTGCAGGAAACAGCGTAAACCTCCTTAGAGTCCACATGGGGTCTCAAAGAGTACGTAAACAAGAGTTTTGTAGATGGTAAGGAAAGACAAAAAATTCCTTTTGGTAGATAAAGATATGTTAAGAAACCAGAAGTAGAAGCTACTTGTGCACTCCACGCACTTCAAAAACAAGTTAATAGCATCTAGCACAAATAGCAAAGTTTTGTCATTACCATATTCCATGCTAGCTTTGTTTAATTTCTAATGTTTCTTCTTAATGCACTTTCTGTAACTAGAACACGTAACATTAATACTCCTAAAATCAGTACAGAATCATTACCTTAGTAGTAAGAAGCGGAAAAGATCTACGCAAGTTAAATCGCATCTGTGAAATGTCCATAAATTAGAGTTGCAAATAACAAACTTCAACGTCACAAAATGGACATCAATCACTAGACAAATGGCTCCAGTAAGCAGGACAGAGAAGGCATCCCAGTACCTGGCAACCAAATTTCGAAAGGGTACCAGTTCCAGTTCGGTCATCTTTGTGGTTGCCAGTGGCAATAATATCTTGAACCAATCTCAAATACAAAAACTCATCATGCTTCTCAAAGACAGTCTTTGGCAAGAAAGAAAAACTTGAAACATTGAACCTCTTGGAATCTGAACTCCTATTAGACTTTGCCCGCTGGTGCAAATCAACAGGCTCAACTGCAGAACTCATCACACGAACATATGTCACAAAGCAGTGCCGGATGTTATTTTCTACTGTAGGTGGGGAAGAGTACCAGGGCTGGAATAGTGAACCATCAACTGGAGGAATAAAAGCGTCACATTCAATGTCTGCCTCAATTACAGTCATGTGTATGGCTTCACATTCCGGTGCATTAAGCGCTTCCCTGAATCAAAATCACAAACACTTTATGGTCTCTTAACCCCCAAAAAAAAATTAAAAGATAACCAAAGGCATATGCACCTTAGTATTTGTCCACCTCCTATTACAAAAACTTTTTCTACTGAGGAACAATATGGAGATTCTGCAAGCAATTCTAAAGCAGATGAAATGCTCCCACAACAGACAACATTATCATCAATAGCAGGGCCAAGGCTCCCTGAACGAGTCAGCACAATGTTGAGACGACCAGGCAGAGGTCGAAATTGTGGAGGAATACTTTCCCAAGTTTTCCTTCCCATGACAACTGCATTCCTCTTCACAGGATCTGTAGTAGTTACCGTAATCTCCTTGAAGAATTTAAGATCAGAAGGCAACCTCCATGGTAACTTGCCATCTTTTCCAATACCAAGATCACGAGTTGCAGCCACTACAACTTGGTAACTCCTCAGAGAAAGAGGCTTAATACGTGCATCACCATCAGAGCGACACATGTGAGAATCTGCACTCATATCAAAAAGTTCTCGCCAAGTTGTGTGCCTAGCAGACACCTTAGAACTGTCTGAAAAACTTAAAGGTAGAGTCGGCACTGTACTGATAAAGAAGTGATGCCAATTAATGCTTGTTATAACCTGAAAATAATAAAGAGGCAAGATGTTTCATGCAAATCACAATTGACACCCAAATCGAAAAGCCAATTCACCAGAACTAATACTGCCCTACATTACTAATACAAGTAGGCGCATTTGAATAAAAAATGAGAAGTCCCTTGCACATCATTGAACTCTAAATCACAGTCTATGAAGGGCAAGGGGACGGCGGGTTAAATAGTTGTCCATATCACATTAGATTAGAAGAATACAAAAAAGGAACCGAAGAAGTCAAGACCTTTCCTTTCTGTTTGATTTGGTCATCCAAAACTGTACAGACGGACAAACTCTCATGCTAGATGAGATCCTCGAAACCAGCAAGCGGAAAACTGCCATTTTTCAGGACATTAAGTAGAGCTTTTCTATTGCAAATCTCCAAACTATATCTCTTCTGCCAGGACTATCTTGCTCAACACCTACTGCATTGCTCCTGTCCCAAAAGGCCGCTTGTACACTATACCACAAAAAAGGGGGAAAACAAAAACTCTCAGATTGGAATTTCCATAATAGAACCTGGAAAAATGGTGATAGAAGCAAATAGGTGAAAACTCCACTTCCCTTTCTATGCTTTCATATTCAATTTCTCAGTCTTCAGCAGATTCCCAGGGGGAAAATGTGAAACTTACAATAACACAGCGAAACAAAATGGACTTTACAGCAAAACTTGCTACTTGGACATCCCTAAGCCTGAACAAAAGGAGCTCAAAACTCGTACAAGATGGAAAAAGCATATTCCAAAAGGGTTTTATTTATTCCGTTTTATTATCATTTTGTGATTCTTCACTATAATGGTGGTTGACAGCTAGAACCCTATCTTGGATGCTTTATCAAAATAGAAGCAAAAGCACAAAACAAAAGTGCGAGTAGAACTACAATATCATGCAAAATGGTAGAAGAAATCCAACCTGCAACCGCAAGAGTGAATAAATAGCTCGAAAGAATCTTGGAACGAAAAAGAGGATCCCTGTGTCTGGTGAAGATTCTCAGGTTGCTGACGAATGAAATGCGCGGAAAAGATCTATAGGATGAAACTCGATGGAAACGGACAAGAGCAACCACGCTTTTGCTGGGAAAGTAAATTCGATATTTCCACCAAAAAAAGAAAAAGACTTTATGCATTTCCACCCAATCATTATTATTTATACGGTAAAAATTGGATAGATTCCATCTACATTCTATAGTCACTAGGATCTCCTAAAAAAATTTGCTAATTTCATCGAGTTGTTCCAAAGGGTCAAAATGGCCAGTTAATTTATCTATATAGTGATAGGTGATCTTACTACTGTTGAGAACTAGTGACCGACACACATTGATATGTGTATAAGTGATTTAAAAAATCTTCTGATGAACTAATGATGGTAGATTCATTATTGAGCAAATTATCAAGATGGCCACTAAATTTTTGGAATCATTGAGTTTTGACTATTGAATTATTAAAAGTCTAATTTTGTCACTAAACTTCTGAAATTTAGATTTCGAGATATTTCGTCAGATTTAATTGTTAATCATGTCTCTTATTTTTGTCTCATGAATTGTACGGGCACTCAAATCTGACATAGTTAACGATTAAATTTAATGAAATGACTCGAATTATAAACTTTAAATAATTCAGTAAACAAAACTAGACATTTAATAGTTCAGTGATCAAAACTCAGCGATTCTAAAAGTTTAGTGGCCATCTGAATAATTTGCTCTTCATTATTTGACAACAAAATCTAGTAGTAGTAAATTAAAAAAGTTAGTAGAAAAAATTATAAAAATTAAATCAAACAATTATCTATAAGCTGTTATGTTTAACTGATAAACACCTATTTCATTGATCAATTGAACTAATGTTTGTAGATTTATTATTTGACAACAAAATCTAGTAATAGTAAATTAAAAAAAGGCAATGCAAAAAAATTATAAAAATCAAACAAAAATTTAAATCAAGCAATTATCTATAAAGCGATTATGTTTAACAGATAAACACCTATTTTATTGGTTGTGTGATATTAGTTGTTGAATTAAAATGGGTTAGCGATGAGAAGACATTTGATGAGTCAAAAAGAAATTTTAAAAAATGATATCGAATTGTTTACACCAAATCACCTACTCCTACTTTATTATTAGGGTTAATTCCACTTTGTCCCCCCAAACTTTGGACGATTATCCACTTAAGTCCCTAAACTTCAAAATGGGATACTTAAGTCCCTAAACTTATAAATACCTCCCACTTAAGGAAAATTGTTAACAAATCCTGAATGCCGTTGGTGGTCAAAGTGTCCCATTTTATAAGGGTTTAGGGATTTAAGTGTCCCATTTTATAAGTTTAGGGACTTAAGTGGGAGGTATTTATAAGTTTAGGGACTTAAGTGTCCCATTTTGAAGTTTAGGGACTTAAGTGGATAATCGTCCAAAGTTTGGGGGGATAAAGTGGAATTAACCCTTATTATTATGGAGATAGTTTCATTCTAAGTTTTGAATGTTAAATTTCATGGAGATTGGCCCACTTTGAAGTCGTAGAGTGCACCATCTTCAATTTCCTTTTCAATTTTTTTAGTAGAAGAAATGTGATATTGAAAATTACTTGAGTAGTTTGAATAGTCAAGATATGACCAATCAACTACTGATAGTATGTTTTTACCCACTAAAATATCAAATGTGTAAATCTTGAATCATTTCATCTTATTCCACCGTTACTTCTACCGGATATAAAGGTCCGCATGATTTACGAGACATACTATTAATAGTTAAATCTTACGTACTATTAATAGTTTTTTACCGGTACTATTAATAGTACCGGATTACGTACTATTACGTACTATTAATAGTTGAGTGGCTAAAAGTCAATTGTCCAAAATATTTAGCGGCTACCCAAATAATTTGCTCAATGAATTTACCAAACTTGAAGGTGGAAGGTGAAACCTTAGATTAGAAGGTAAGGAAAAATGTTTTGATACAAAGAAATTATTTTCCTTTATGCCTCTCACGATTTTTGGCTGCATGTGAAGGCTTCAACTCCCTTGAAAGAAATATTTTTAAGTTGATTATTAGTAATATGACTTTATTAATTGGATTCAATTTAGAACAGAAAGCTCCAAGGCAAATTGCGGAAGTTGTTTTATTTGAAGATCATATAAGAAGGGGTAGAGCAGGGAACAAAGTTTGATGAGCTTCTGATTCTGAAACACATCGTAGTTCTATACAATTAATGACATTAGGCAAAAGAATTATAAACAATTTCAATATGGAAGTAAGTACAATGAACAAACAGATGTTTGCTCATCTAATGCTTATACATATCAAAGAATCTGGGATAATAATGAACTCTCCAGACTAGCCACCAAGCTCCAGCTTATCCACATATCTCAGTTTTTTATCGTTTCAGCAATCCATTCAATCTTTCTTTACTCTAGTACTATCTCTTCAGCAACTGACTTCTTCACAAACAGCAGCTGCCACTAAATCTGGATATTTTTGTGCTAATGCAATATCCTCATCTTCAGATTCTGACTGAGCTATGGATTTATCACTAAATCTTACCTGGCCAACAAACAAAAGAGATTCAGATTTTCACACAAGGAATAAATCTTTAAAGGTAAGAACTGAAAGGGAAAGAAGCAGATATGAGGGTGAAACTAAACGTACGAAATGTAACTTGTCATCACCCCGCTTCCATTTACAATTTGACATGAATTTGTGAATGGAATGCTTTGCTTCACCGCTCAAAAGCGCCTGCATTATTAACATGGTCACATTGATTGAAGACGTAAAACTTTACAATTTACAGGAAAATGCTGCAGAGAAGTTAATATCAGGAGCAGTTTTATTGCTGACATGCTTCTTGGCTTATTCCTCACCTTCACTATATTTTGGTCTTTCCATGGCCCTTTATCTGATCTCAAACAACCTCCCTCATTTGCGCAGGTACAGCTCCCGCCAAGAAAGTCTGGCAACTCGCTGATATATGATACTACAATCAGTTTTGGTGCCATTAGGATTTAATGAAGAGCTCAAAGAATCAAAATCAACCATAATCACCTCTGATCAACAAATGCAAGCAATGCGCTCTTGTAATTTGTGCCAAGAACCTGATAGGGTAGAAAACAATTGGTCAGTGTTCTATAGAATGTAAAATTTGAGATTTTTATTTTGAAACATTCTGAACATACATTAATCTTGGAAGCAGTATTCGGGTCAAGAAAGGGCCTTATTGCACTCCAAACAAGCCTAAAGCCAGGGCCAGCATTAATGATGAACAGTGTATGAAGAGTCTGCAAGTTGATTCAGAAATATCATGGTCAAGGATAATATTCCTATGTTAAGTCCAAGATCATACAAGACAGCTTGAAGTTGTCCCAAGATGCAGGAAATATATACTTCAGGATAATTGTCATTGTCAATCTTCTGCAACCGCATAATGACTTCCCTCGCAGGTTTAATCAAATTTTTTAAACCCTGAATGATTAAACAAGAAGGAAAAGAGCTCAATCATACAGCTCCACATCAAAGACACCAGAAGATGAATGCTATACAGGAAAAGCGGAAGAACAATACCACGCCTTGAACATCTAAAATCGTCATACTTGCATCTATGTATTTGTTTGCAGCTATTGAGCAAGCAGGAAGTCTAATGGAAAGAGTCTTCTCGAACTCTTGAACATGGTATTTCACATACCGATCTGAGGTAGTTACTTGCATAAGCTTGTACATGTCAACCTTTCCCAACCTTTCAATGTAAATTGGTCTTCCTTCCTTATCTACACCATGATAACACTGAGGGTAGTACAGCAGAACTTCGTCTAACTCATTGAAGTGAAAATCCTGAAGATGATAAAGCACATATATAATAGCAACCAAAGAATTGATGAGCAGCCACAGTTACAAAATCTTACTTTTTCTAAACCTCCTTCACTAGAAATTTAGGCAGCCATCTAATGTGTCTCATTGCTCAATGATCATGTTGTTCTACAAGGTAATTAAATCCCTACTGTCTTACAAACCAAGTTTGATGAAGTTGGTACACGTAAGTAACAAGCTTCTTTTGTTGGCTGCCCCATTAGACTATGAGAAAACTGCAGAGCTTAAAGAGACCATTCTAGATTAGATGACTTGTCTGAGGAAGGAAAGGGGTAAAGAAAAAAAGGCCAAAACCAATATCAGTATGAGAAAAAAGTTGAGATTACCTCCAAGATTGTATCTGCACCAAAATCTTTTCTCCATCGGAGCATGTCTGACCACATGCATTTTGCTTTCTCAATGTTAAACTTCCTGGCTTTCAAAAATCTGCAAGCAATTAGTTCTTTTAACATTTCCATCTATGTCAAATCTTACATCAGTTTACCAATTTGCAATTACTTTACAGAGTCTGCATGATCAGGAAATCCAAACTGAAGGAAAAGCATTCTGCTAACTATTTTTCACAGACTGAAAATTTTCTGTAGTACATTGTAAATGGTTATGTAAGTTGAAAAAATTACCTCAGCATCATATGATTGTCATCATGCCGTGAAGGCAGCAAGTTGTCAAGGATAAGCGCTTGTCGAAAAGTATGAACAGCCATTGGCTCCTCAATATCCCTTACATCCTCGCTATCAGCTCCTCGAATACCACTCATTGTACTCTCAGCCTGCTGAAGAGAACATTCCTTATCAGACATGTTTCTGGCTTGCTTCTTCGTTTTCTTCTTTTAAGACTACGAACCTTGACTTATGTTCACTTCATTCATCAGAATCACGATTCACGAAACCCTTCACAGCCCGTTAATGAATCAAACATTTTATTACAAGGATGACTGACCAGTATAACAAACGGAGAACATTAAAAGACACGTACAACACAGAGTAACCGCTAAGAATATCATATCCAAAAACTATGTCGCAGCCTTTTTGGATGGCAGACCAGTATAACAAAAGGAGAACACTAAAAGACAAGTACAAATCCTGGCTTTCTTTGTTCCATGCTCCCTAATCAACTCAAAATTGCTACAGCTTGAATTCCCAACTCAATTCTCCAAGAAAGCAGAATTGCATGAAAGAGCTCGATGTCTCTTTTTTTAACCATTTCAGGATCGATAAGTAAGCTAATAACTTTCTTTTTATTTCAACTCATGAAAGCCTGTTACAGAACACCCATACATTATGTCTCACACAAGCATCATTTAATCTATTTAAAGTTCTTTCACGCAATACATAATTTCCCCAGGGGAGACTCTATGGAAAATGTAACTAAACTCTTATTCACCATAGAATAGGTCAAATACAACGAGAATGCCGTACAAGTTTTTTTTGAAAATATTTAGAAGGGGAGGGATGCGAAGGAAGGAAAAGAAAAGGGCTTTGATAGAGTGTTCCTTAATAATTGAGGGACTTTGTTATACGCTACACAAATCAAAGAAAACGAAAAGTGGAAGCCCAAGAACTCAGTTGCATAATAAATTTTTATGTACTCACCAAAACTCAGAGGATCTGTAACATTACCATTCCATTATCATCAAATTTCGAAGACTCAGCCACTTATTACCGCAGAGTTCCCTAAGAAACGGAGAATGGAGAATTGATTGAGAGGCCTTTCTCAAGTTCAAAAGCTATACTCGAGTACTATCTTGTTCTTCCAGTACGAGCCTACCTGCCATGATGAAAGAGTTTGTGTAGCTGCATTTACCATGTCCATATATATGTTGTTCGACAATTTTTGACGTGGCAGCTTTATCTGATCATTGGTTTTGGTTGGCGGGGATATGCGACGGTACCCTTCTACATTAGGCGAAGTTGCCCACGCATGTACATACATATGCATATCATATACATGTATACAGTATACACATACATGTTCCTTTTTCTGTTTGATGAGATTTTCTCTGTTTTCAACTGTTTCATTGGACATTGAAAGCTCTGCAAAGAAGAGCACACAGTATATTTCTTATCCCAAAAATCCCATCTGCCCCTCCGATTATTTTGATGTTGTGATCAAGCGTCTGTTGAATTAATAAAGTCACTAGCCACTCGTTCCTCAAGCATATATGCTAATCGCCTAGTATTCGACTCTGTTCATTACATGAAAGGGTGTTCCATCAGCTATTCCAAGTTTCTTTTAAGACCTAGTATTTTGACAATTTCTGAAATTTCAAAACCAGCTTCAGAACATTGCATTTCTTAGCTACAAACACATGTATACATCTTAAAGAAACATCCACTAATACACATAATTGGCATAAGTCGTCCTGAGGATACATAATGCCCCTTTATAGGTCCAATTATTCAGATACCGCATCCTCCAGTGCTGGATAATGATGCTTTATATGGTTTTGCGTCGACACAAACTACAAATGGCAAAACTGGTTGTTTAAACGTGTAGAAATTGATTACTTGCGTTTGTTAAAGATTCAGGTGCAAATAGCTGAGGAATATGCCTTGTACCTTTTGCCCAGATCGAATATGCAGTACATTTATATCCCACTATCGCTGTCACTTCAACAGCTGCTATTTTACCTGCAAACTAATAGTTTTGCCTCGAAACCCGGGACTTGCGAATTTATTAAACTCTCGACGAATCCTAAAGGAATTATATGTTTGCAAAAGGCTAAGTAAAATATCAAGTTAGTTCTGGTTATTTTTATCGACTCTTATACACTTTCAATCTTTTTTTTTTCCGGTAGTTTTGTCTGACTTCAGATTGTATTCGTCCTTGGCAATGGTTTTCTGTTAATTTGCAATAATCAACCAACATGATTCAGATTCAACAAAAAATTAGTGGACCATCTACAGGCTATGGTGATGCAATTATGCCCTTATAAAGACAGCTACACAATGTTAATTTTTTTCCAAATTATATAATCTTAGCCTTACTGCAATGAATATTAACAATTTAACATTATGTGCACATTGGCAATTTTTTTTTTTTTTTTTTGTCAACACAGAGATGTCCGGGTCAATCCTTACGGGGCCTGATTAATCCCCTGCGCCTGAAGTACCCCGCCCCCAAGAGCACCCAGGCGATATGTGAGGCTAGAGTCGAACCTGTGTCACCACGAGGATTACCCCATGGCCTCACCGGCTGAGCTGACCCCGAGGGGCGTGCACATTGGCAATAGATTGGCAAGATGTCACAGTTTTCCGTCTTTGTGGTGCCCATCAAACTTACCTCTTGTAATTATAAAAAAAAAAAAAAAAACTTACCTCTTGTAAAAAGCAACCAATTCAAATAAAAACTCAGCCCAGCCAACGACTTTTGGATTATTGGTCACCACAAAGACACAATGACTTTTTAATTATCTTTGTTAGGTGGTAAGTCAAGAATTTGACCTTTATCTCCTATCACTTTTCACTTATACGTAACTTCTCCAAATTTAAACGAGTATATAAAAGAATTCATATTCCGATCAAAAACTTTATTTCTAAAAAAGGATTAAATCCTTTACCTCTCAATGACAGATTCGAGAAAAATATACATTCTCGTGATTTGGATCCAAAAGTCACTTAGAAAGTGAGAATTTGGATTATATAAAATTGCGAAACATAATTTTTGAATTGGATATCGTCTATACTCGTCTAGTTCGATGTGATTTAGTCCCTTCAATTTCCATGGTCCAGTTGGGCCGTCCTTTAAATATGTACGAGTAGGAGTAATTTAGAAAATACAAATTGACCAAAAAAAAAGAGCCTAGCCCACGTTAGACAAAACCTACTTGTGAAGAATAAATGAAGTTTATTTCCTCCATGGAAAAAATAGACTTTATTTCCGAGGTAATTCATGAAATGATACTCTTTCACAAATTGTCACCTTTTTAATCTTTTTTATGCCACCTAAGTTCGTATCTTAAATGCTGTGAAGTCTCACATCAATGAACCTCCTCTTTGTTGTAAAGAAAATTTTTACTAACCTCCTTTGAAATTTATGTAAAAAATTTTCACTACCCTCCTTTGAGATTTATGAAAATTATTAGCTCAATGACTTTTTTTTATTATTTTTTCCTTTCATGCAAAATTGTCGCCATCCAAAATTTGTGAAAGTTTTATAGTCATTTTGAGTCCTTAAAAACGAGGTAAGAGTGTAATATTTGAAAGTAGAGGTGTTCTAAGTGAAATTGCTGTCCAATTCAACATTCATACTCAATATATGCATACACAATAAGCAAAATCCAAGAAAGAAAAATAAAAAACCAAGGCAATAAGAATCCAAGAAAAGACATTAGATGTGTTAAATGCTAAAATATTATTAAAATGTTAATAGCATTTCTTTTTCTTCATGACTTATCGTATTATTTCTGATAACCTAATATCGAATCCAATTGTTTCCAATATAAAGGACCTTGGATGATTAAGTAGTTTGAAGTATAACATTCTTCTCAATTATAACATTTTTTTGTTAATCAATTATGGAATATTATATTTATTGCCCTTTATTTTATCCCTTGAATTTGGTTTTTTGTGTTTGAATTTTGAGTATGAATGTGGAAATTGATAACCAAGAGGTAGAAAAGACTGAATAAAATTACACCAATAAGAAGGTTCATTTAAGTGAGTTCTCATCGCATTCAAAATGGGAGCTTATATAGCATAAAAAGATTAAAAAGGTAATATTTTATGAAAAAGCATCAGACTTGGAATTTTTTTTCCAAAGAAGGTTGCTTTAGAAATAAATTCGGATAAACGAATAGCTTAGGCCTTGCTTGGATTGCTTGTTTCCGTCGAAAAATATTGTCGTTTTCCGTGATCACATTTCCCTATCACCTTTTTCCCTCACATATATCAAATCGTTACAGTAATTTTTCCATGAAAAGTGACGGAAAATGCAATCCAAACACAACCTTAGTATTTTATTTTTTTTGAGGAAAAGTACAAGCAAAAGCATGCACTTCTCCATCTAGTGTCAGTACAATTCTACATTCGAGGATATTGGGTCCACTGAAAAAGTAAGCATGCACATAATCCCGTTTGCCATGGAGGATCGGAGTTTGACTGGTACAGCCACTTAGTTAATTAGGTCAGGGGTGGGGCGGGGGACGGAGGGGGGACGGGTGACTCCTCCCCACCCCCGGTGCCCACTAGTTGCCCGGCTCTTCCTCCGGCCCTCGTTTCCCCGTTGGATCTTCAGTGCCACTTCTATATTTATGCCAAGTGTCTAATTTATTTAATTTATCGTGTGTTGTTTATTTAAATTTCTTCTACCATCATGTGATAAGTAGAATTGGTACTAAATTCGGCACCAAATAGTGGCATAGAAGATCCCAACTGCTCGTTTCCACCTTTTCGTCCCCATCTCATCCCGTTTTCCCCAGGAGGGCACTTGAGAGAATTAATAAAAATTTATCCTATAACTACATTATAGTCAAATTTTAGTCATGAATCAAATATTTAAAATATCAACACATAACTAAATCATTATTCACTATAATTTTATAATCAAAATCCATAAAACCAATCAAACAGAAATTATCTAAATATAATCCAATATGATGAGACATACAACTAAATTTTATTGTGCTTTCTTTTTTGAAAAAAAAATATTATTGTACTAAGTATAATTAAAATTTTAATAAAAATATATTAATAAATTTAGCATAACTAATTAATAATTTCTATTAATATACATATATAATTATTAATATAATTAATAATATTAATTATATTATATACATTAAAATATATTTTATAATACTTATAATTATTATTATTATAAGTTCATAACTAATCCGTCCCATTTTTTTACGAGAAAAAATGCACACAACTCCCCCCCCCCCCCCTCCTCCCCAAAATCCCATCAACCCCACAAGCATCTGTCTCGATTGTCATCCCTACATGTAGTCATTACTTTCACCATTCGTCACTACATATTAATTATAGGTTTGTGGAATATTCATAACCACAATCATATAATTCATTGATCTTCTTTTTCTTTCCCCCCTACAGGAAAAATTTGAACCAAGAGATATCAAATATTTTCCTCGTTACTTAACCAAGAAAGTCTGAAAATTAGATAATGACCAAAAATATAATTTAATTATCCACTTCCCAATTTGAGAAAGGAATTGGTCTAAGCCCAAGGCACCAAATGGGGACTTATTTCTTGCCTTTCAAACAGTTTGCCATATGCCTCAATTAACAAAAACGATCACTTCTCACAACAAATGGTGTCTTCAAATTCTGTTGTTGATATGAGAATTGTATTGATAAAAGATCAATCCCAAAAATATGCCCTAACCCGTGCCAGTGATCAAAGCAGAATCCACCCAAAATTTTTATCAATTCCAAAGTTATGCCCGACCCATAATGGTAACCGCAACCCAATTTAACCGAACTTTTTTTTTTACCCAAAAAAAAAAAAAAAGAATATAACAAAAGTGCAGAACAGAGAATAGACAGATAATCCATTTGCCAGATAAGCAGCATAACCTCAAAGAAAGTTGGAAACAAGAATATCCGACCCAGGCAGAAATCGCAGTGTTTATAAAGTTCATCGTTGCCATGAAAGTTTGCCTATACATATATTCACAAGCTTTCTACATACATGCATATATTTGAAGGTGGAGATGATGATTCCCAACAATATCGACTTCATCAACTTCGATCAAATGGGTTTCTATTTACACAATCCGTCCTCCAGCAACATCTCAGCCACAATATCTAGTTTGACGATTTGCATCAAGTAGAATTCATAACAAACAGCGGGAGGTTAGGAAAGTCCGGGGAAGAGGGGAAGACGGTGCAAAAATTGGGTAGATTTTAGCTATGAAACATCTTACCACTATGTCCAGTTCCTCTTAGATCGGAGCTGAGTGAGCTTATCCCTCCACAGAGCTGTAGTGTAGCATATTCATAATCAGAACTCAAAAGCTAATCAAATCAAGACTAACCAATTCAATATCTTGCTGTTAACTTGGAAAACCAGGACAACATGTGATGTATGACAGTGAAATTTCAACTAAATCTTCAAAGTTTCTTCACTTTTGATATCCGTCATGACGAAAATGCACAAGATGCAGCAACTTTCTGTTGCTTAATATTTGGAAATCCATACCTTCAGTAGTATTTGCAACGGGAAGCCAAGCTTATGGATGAAAACAAAACTCAATCATGAACATTTTTCAATTAAAATGATTAAACATTATCGAATGACTTATTTGTCTTAGAAGCATTGCAAACTAGTGACACTATCTTTTGTCAATCAAACAAAATTCCATACTTCACCTGGAGTTGGCTTTGATGTTTTCTAAAATAGGTAATCACATTGACACACAAAAAGCAACAAAAGTTGCAAATTTACTACAACTAAGTTTAGTACCAGAATACATCAGATAGAAGAGGTACAAGACTCTGCACTATATATTCTTATCTAACCTGCAAACCAGAATGATGTACCACAACTATGTGATCAAAAAGTCTACCTGCATCACGGTAGCGTTCCTCAACAGCAGCAATCAGCATATTGCGCAAGAGATCAAACTCCTTTGTTTCAATGCATGGTTGGCCAGAAGGTCTGAATCCAGGTGACAAGATTTCATTATGTTGTTCCTTTGTAAAGAAAGACACCATTAAACAGAAAAACTATATCTCAACATGTAACAATAATTACGTTTTTTAGTTCTTCCCTAAGTTACCAGGAGATTGTTTGCCTTCAAGGAAACTAACATAAACACAATCACATATCCATCTGATCCACTGACCAAAATTGAACCACTAAGTTGCATATTTGGGACGTTATATAGTCGAGTGGCCAACAATTAGTTTTTTTGCCAAATTGTTAATCATGCAGTTTAAATAGCATAACCTCAGCATAACACAATTATAAGGTCCACCCCATCCCAAAACCAATGCCCCCTAATTCCCTCCCCAGGGGCCCCAAGCCCCTCCTTTTATAAGCAGCTTCCCCAAATTCGCATTGGAACAAATTTGATGGTTAAAAATTTTATACTTGTTGGACATCAAAATGTTTCCTGTTGATAAAAAGATTGACTTTGCAGTAGTATTTTTGTTGCTCGACATGGTTATCATTTCCTCCCATTTAAATTAACAACTTTTTGGCACCATCCAAAGTCATTTTTTAAGGAACGAGACACATTAAATTGGAAAAACACTCAACAAAGCATGTAGCTTTTCTAAGTTGTAAGGGAATACAGAAGATTACCTATCCAGTTCTGTAAACAAAAATCCATCTGAAGCCACAGCCTGCATTGATGGCTTTGCTGATTCAACAATCCTCATGCCATCACTATATGCCAGGTATTTGTTGACTTGTATTGGCACCTAGAAAAATGCAGATAATATCACTTAGGAGCCATTTTTAAGGATGAAGCACATCATTTTGCTCAGATAAGAATAGAAATTTCAGCTAGTTTTTCTCTCTCTGGAGACTCATGATTATCAAATCAAGAAATTAAAAAAGACAATAAGAACTACTTTCCCATTGAAAGACTGATTGACCATGACAAGTAGGCTTGTTCAGGTTGGACCAGATCCTGAGTACCCCTTGAATTATCGGTTGGGTCATCTAACAATCCATGTTACATTGTTACTAGCACTTAATAATAAAGTGCATGCACTTTAGAAATTTACAATACAAATTTCCCCTTGTTTTATTAATATGGCATTTTATGCAATAAATAAAATCGATAAATTACTGGCATTTCATCATTTACATAACAATTATCAATATTCCAAACTGGAAAGCATTGACAATCACCTTCAAATGCATAGCAAAGATATCAAACAAATATCTAAAACACATCTATTCAGTGTTTACTTCAATTTACCTTGCATCTCACAGCAATATTAATTGCATCTGAGGGTCGAAGGTCAAAGCTGATAGTCTCAGTTTCATCACCCAACTGACATCATCACAACCATATAATCAAAAGAATAAAAAAAAGGCACCTCCTAAATAGAACCAAAATTTCAATTTGACCAAATAGAGATTGCACTTTGGTACCTTTGAGAGATATAACTGAGCAAAATATGCTTCATGGACTCTCTTAGTCACACGAACAAGTTTCACCTAAACAGGAGGCAAGCAAGTAAACAAGATCAGAAATAGGATGGAAACAGTATAACAATTTGTTGAAGCAAACAGTAATTCAGAAAAGGGAACAATTACAAACTTACTGTGTACCCCATCTTATCAATCATTTCCTTAACCACTTGGTACATTGTGGGTCTAGCCTGAAGTAAACAATTATCTTGTCATTCACAACCTATCAAGTGATCCCAATTTCAAGGCTAAGAGTCTAAAAGGTGTGCAAAAATAAGACTCACAATTTGGACATTGCGTATAGCTGCCATAAGGAGCACACTTGGCATCTCCACTGATACAGCCAATGAATGGTCACAAAGATAAATCAAAAGAACAATGAGTACAAAAAATAAAAGCCTCCCCTAGTAAACTAATTCTCTTGAAGAATGATAAGTATTATAAAATACGTACAAACAATGATCGGAAGAAGAAGACCAGTCCCATCTTCCATCTTCAGAACAATTGCAGGATGTGGAGCATAATCAGGTAGATGCCCACTCTGGGGGTTGTTATGCACGCACCTTAAATGCCTACCATCCCTCATCTTGACCATGAAACCATCTGGGCCACTCCTCACCTCAACTGCAAAACATAAACAAGACAGAACTATCAGGAACATTTCATATCCCATTAGATCTTCAATGCTTGCTAGTACAGCAAACATATATAACACGATACTTCCACAAGGATAACTAAAGGATACATCAAAAAAGCCAGCTAAACCTTTTTTTTTTAAACACTACTATCAGAGCAATCCTATACATAAGATAATCTGAACATAAACAAAACAGAACAATAGGGACATTTGACATCCCTTAATATCTTCAATACTTGCTAGTATGGTGCACATGAATGACACAGTACCTCCTAACCAATCAAATTAACAATAAACTCTGCCATGATAACCAAAGGATACATCATAACAGTCACTATAAAAACTTCTTTTTAACACTACTACCAGACAATCCTGCTCATAAGAAAATCTGGACCAAAATGACAAGGTCGCTTGTGGTCTCTTTTCATGAACAGTTTTTCCTTAACTCCTATTTTATTACCAAAGAATTGAAAAGTAGAAACAGATAGTCTCAAAGCTGACTATATGGGTTGTTAATCAGACAAGTCGTCAGACACGCTTCAGAAAGAATGAAAAATGCAAATCTTCCTCTCTTCCACCCTATATGTAGGCGACAAACAAAATAACAACAAAGCCCAAATTTTGTCACGTCTTTTCTTCCTTTTCCCAGTAAGGCTACTTAACCTTCAATTTACTAGTTGAATGAACCGTATCATTTTTCTCCACTGCCATTAATCGCAGACAAGAAAAGAAACATTCATATGCGAAACTCACAATAGAAAATATCAAACCTGACAAATGCAACTGTAAATGGATCCAACTCCAAAGCAGAGCCATGGAACGTAAAAGCATTATATTAAAAAACTTTCAACACAAGTATACCTGCTTCTACCACACTGGAATTTACGTAATCTGCATCATTCTCACTGAAATTTCCTGCCTTGCTACCATTGCCATTCGATGAAGAACTGAAGGTACACCTGATCACCTTTGTCTGGCGGGGTGTTTGATTTGGTACATTGAACCTATTATTCACTTGAAGCCCAAAGAATCCACCTCTAACTAATTTAGCAGCCAGTCCCAAAGGTGTATAAAAAGGTACAGTGTCAACTCCAGTTTGTTTAGCACGAACCACGGGGCAAACCACCGGCCCTTGTAAAGATGCCATCTTTGCTCCTTTGAAAGGCATCAGAAAACAAACAAATTAGAGAGGGGGGAAAACATCTAGTAATACAGATTCACCATTGAAAGTATTAACAAGATACGACCATCTTCCCCTCACAAACGTGGGTTAGCAAACTTTAGTATCAGATAATACAGAATTATCCAGTGCGAAGAAGTACTTTTTTCACCCTTCATCCGAATTATTAGTCAGGATATTCAGAAACCAAGTTGAATGTTTCCCAATTCATAACAACTTAACAGCCGATAAATTACCAACAAAATTTTACCTTCGCAAAAACACAGTCTCTTCTTCTAATTCCCCTGAATTTTTTTTCATCGCAGGCCAACATAACTGATATTTTACAAAATCCTTTCTGAGAAAATCTTTTTTACTTCAAAGTTAACAGTATTCCATTCAGATGAAAGAAGCATGAATCATTTCTCATTCTTTTCCACTTCTCGCATACACTCACGAGTCACAACCATCAGATACAGTCAGTTTTCTCAGAGGTTTTTCTAAAATTTAGCTAAATTCAAGCCAGATTCGGACAATCTCATGCATGGATCAGCTCAATTCTTTCACCGGTATCCTCCGTATATTATAATCGATCACTATAATACTTGAGTCAAATTAACTCAAGATTCAATTTTGCACAGGTAAACAGTCGGAATCACAGATCATTAATAAACAATTAATGAAGAAAACAAATGGTCTTAAATAATCTCACTTAAAACAACTTTTGGCTATTTTAAAAAATATATATGATGAAAGTTGTGTCATCGAACCATCCGTGTTCAGACCTGAAGCTGGACAATAAGAAGCTGCTGATCTTGTACAAAATTCAATAATCAAGAGTTTGGCTTTGGGTCGCCAATTACAACAGCAGTCTTCAAATTCCCAATAACTCTCCAAGAGCCAACAAGATTTCAGTAAAGATCTCAGTGAAAATCTTCAAAAATGATAAAGAGGTTGAGAAAATCAAGAAGATTATTAAAATGGAAAAAGAAGGAAGGAATTCACTACAGCAGTAAATGGGAGGCAGAGGCAGTAGCAGCTGCAGAGGAAAAGGGAGGAAGGGAGGGACCGACAGAGAAGACAGGATAAAGGAAAGAAGTGAAGGTGTGAGAGAGAGAATAGAAATAGTCTTCCAAGTATGAGAAGAGGAAATAGATAAGAGATTCTTTTCCTGTATTGCCTATCTGAGACGTACCAAGTCTGCAGTCTACTAGTAGATTAATACACTCCTGCAGTTTCTTGCTATTGGCAAAGATATTTAATGGAACAGAGCGTTCACTCGTCTGACCAGAGTCTCAGTAACCATTGACACCATTTTGGCATATAGCCCATGGTTTGATCATCCGTTAAGCTCTGTGATTCCCTCCGTTAGACTCTTTTGATGGAATTATCAATTTGGCCTTTGTGTCTGTTTCTCTTTTACTCTTTCCATGTATCTTGACTTAAATGCTCCAACTTTAGAACATTTAATCAACTTGGAGTTATAAAAATTAACCATGTGGATTTAGATAGACATGCAAATTTACCAGATCTAATTCAATGAATTGAAAATAAAGGGACGAATTACTAAAAAATTTCACGAATTCTACCACAATACATCGTGATGATAAACTATTAAATACGTTAAATCACATTTTCAATTTATATTGGTTGGCATTTTCGGTAAAACTCAATCTATGTTGGTGATGTTTGAACTAAAGTTGTATTTACTTTATTAGTCGATATAATTATCTGAGTCAACTATTTAATTTTTCATGTGGGAATCCTGCATTCCATCAATATAGCTAATCTCCTAATAATGATAAGAAAAAGCCAGGTATAATAAATATTGTAAAATATTTTGAATTTCATACTGTTCTCTAATTTATTAACAACTATAAAAATAATACTACCTATTTATAAATTACAAGGAAAAGAATAAGTATGTTGCAAGACATTGAAAAAATTGTATGCTGTCAAACGAAAAGCTTTTGAAAAATGCTTTAACATGGTGAAATGTAAAACCTACAACTAGAAATGCATATTAATGGCAATTAATGTCAAAAAAAAGAGTAGAAATTCCACAAGTATAAAATTTTAAGGGACATTAAGTAAAGAAAAATGAGTCTTTTTATTGTACAGCTTAATAGCTAATTTCTTTTAATTTTGAATTCCTTTCTAATTCTATATATAAAATCATACTAATATATATTCATTTGCCACTCTTTTTCTTTGAAACACTAGAAAAAAGAAGTTATATTGGATGTTAAAGTGTCTACGGAGTAGCATATTACCAAGGCTATTTATGACCTTTCATGAGAGATCTAAAAGTTTGCTGGTTTGGATGGCATCAGCACCAGGTTACTGACAGGAGCCGCACTGCCGGCGGTCGAGGATATCCATCACTCCAAAAGTGTGGATGACTGCCACGTATTCGACTACTCCAACCGAGATGGTCAGGATCTGGATAAGGTTCCTTCTTAGTTCTTACACCAATTTGCCAAACTCAGGGTCCCCTTGCGCAAAATTCCAGGGACCCAATTTTAGATGCTAGAACCTCCATCTTGATCTTAAATTGTTGAAAGTTGACGGATGGGATCAAATCACGACCTCTTCTGTATAGCCATGAGCACATCTGATCTCCATCGTTAATTACTCTTTTCGCTGTGATTAAATAATTGTTATTTGCACAAAATTTATTTATTTTTTATATCAAATATATTTTTTAACATAAATTTTTATCTTATGTACATGATAAAAAGTGTTATAATAATTATTTTAAATAATAATTTGTATAAACTTCTGCCCAACCCATATTGAAGGGGGAAGGGGATAATCCCCACCATTTTTTTCTTTTTCTTTTTTTTTATAAAGTTTGACTTTTGAACCTTGCTGTATTCTAAAGGCTGTGCGTTGGCAGAAAACATTTGTTATAGAGGTTGCCGGTGGAAATTTGATTTATACTAATTGAGAATTTGTCTGTCTAGATAACTTGCACCTTAATTAAAGACAAGAAAATCAATGGCCAACAAAATGATTGGTACATAATAGAAATTAAAAAATGAAAATCATGATGTTGACAACAACCAATTTACAAAACCAAAACTGTTTATGCTATTCTAGTCAAGAATAGCTGCCAATTTGTGTTTTAAATTTGGCATAAGCACGAGGACATCTGACCTCCAATGTTTTTTTTTCCTAAAATTGTAGGCAATAGGTAAAGGGTAGAACTTAAGAAGCGAGAAGGAAATAGATGGGATTTGAACCCAGACTTCTAATATTTGAGGTCTTAACTTATCCACTAGATCAACGTTTCATCAGCATATGATCTCAAAGTAGTAACTTTGATTTTATTTTATTTTTTGGAAAATTTGGAATATTGAGTGTGTTTGGATAATTTTTGAATTATTTTCGGATTACTATGAAGTGATATTGAGTTGTGAATCTTGCTAGTAATTAGAAAAAATTATTTTCTAAGGTTATTTGGTTGATGGAAAATGTTTGTGTTTGGGAGGTAGCTCGTGGAAAGTTGATTAATTGTACTGGCCAGATCACTTGCTTCTTACGCAATGACAAGCGAATCAATGATTGGTTCATTACAAAATTAAAGATGTGGACAGCAATTAAAAATGAAAACCGAAATTGTTTATTCCATTATAATTAGAGTAGCTGCCAAATCTTGGATAAATGTTTTGAACTTAGGGATCGGATGGCTATTAATTTGTGAATTTTGGCATAAAAAATGTTTGGGACTTCAATTCATTGACAACGAATATAGGTGCCCAAATCACTCTTGTTAGCTCAACTTTTTTTTTTGTGTGGGGTTAGTTGAGTTCAACTTAGTTATATATGGTGTTTAAGAATTTGCGCAAGGCGGAAATAGAACTCATAAAGTCGTACGGTTAAAAGTTTGGGCGTGAGTTCCGCTTATAAATAGAGGCACGTTCTCACAGATGGGGCGGTTTATTTGGCTGTAGTTACAAAAAGATGAGATAGGGTAGAAGAAAGGGATCCATGTTGCGTGTCCTTTCCTTATACTGCACAAGAATGAGTTGCATTCGAAGGAGGTTTAAATTTCAACCATACGAATAGTGATTTTTTAGAAATATGGAATGTTGTGTAATTTTTTTAAAAATTTTTGGTACAATTGAGGGCAGCATTTATTTAGGTATATTTATCGATATACTCTCATTTGATACATTTAAAATTTTGATTTATGGAGACATCTAAGTATTTCTGAAATATGAAATTATTTTGTAACCGTTTTTGCATCGAGTACAGCTCATATAAACTTGTGTGTTGGTGTAATTATTGAAATGGTGTTATAGACACATTTAATTAAAGTGCGGCTTTTGTTGTGCAATTAACACAATAATATATTAACACGTTGTGTAATTAACATGTTGCTATAACTAGCCGTGTTGGAGGGCATTCCTTTATCCGAAACAATTTATGTCTCCTTTTGGGCTATTTTCAATGACATTTGTAGGGATCTTTTGGGAATAGTAAAATTATAAAAGTATTAATAAAGTAAAGTGTACAAGTGTGTGCTGCAATTAGAATGTACTATTATTAGTTTTATTATATTTGATGACTATTTGTTTCTAGAATATACTATTATTTATCCAATGAAAAATTCTCTTTAACGGCAGGTATCAAACACTCGCACAATGCGTGGGCACTTCCCCCTAGTATTCTTCCATAAGATTGCAATTTTCTTTGTTCAATTTATTTATTTATTGCGGAGAAGATATGCTTGCAAATTTATGTCCCGCGCTTTGATTGCTAGCCAAGAAAGCATCTAATTCTTGTACGAAAGGCAAGCAGGCATTTATTTCAGAAAATAATAGAAAAACTAGAAACTAGTTTACATGAAGGTGGATCATGGACACCACTCCAGCTAGTGTTAAATCTCAATCATATATTGACTCTTAATGGATCAAACTTGGTCCATCCTGGGCTTTGCTTTTCAATGCTGTTTGGTTTCAGAATGACCAAATTTGCTCCACTAAAGCTTGCAATTTGCAATCATTCTCACAAAGGCAGTCAAAAGGTGGAAGTAAATATGCATCAACGCAAAATGTTGGGCAAAGATTGAGCAGCAGCACTGCCTTGCCCAGTTGCCCCCGCCTAATTTTTTCTTTTCAATTTGAAATAGTAGCTAGGAAACCCGCTGCCAAATGGAGGCGGAGGCCTCTAACTCAAGTGCCACCACCGAAGCTAGGCGGCGGCCAGACGCCCCCGCCACCGTCAGCCACATAAGACAAGCACGACATTGGCACCAGGCACAGCCCTCGGCTTCGGAGATCTCGTTTTCTTTCTTCACCTCCGTTCTCCACAGCACCCTGAAAATATATAACGCACCACCTTTTCAGATACTTGCAATTGACTCAATTTCTTACACCAAGCTGCCTGCCTAATAGGCGGAAAAACAAAAGCGATGCAACTTCTTTTATTTTTAACTTTTCCTTTGAAAAATAAATAAATGCCAACAAGAAGAGAATAAGATGACAAGAATTAAAAGAAACAAATTAATTTTCTCCGCCTTTTTCTTTTCTTTTATAAATGTAAGTGCGTCCCATTTGCTTACCCCATGCACGGTTCTACTGGACTTGTTGCGCGACGACTTTAGATATGGGACGCTCAGTGTCTACAATAAAGAGCAGAATCGTAACTCAAGAAGAAATTATGCAAACCAGAAATATATATATATATATATATGTCAAGAAATTAGTTTCCACACTCAGGGGATGATGATCAATGTTCAGCTGCTGGACCTGTCGCCCTCAACAGTCCTTATCTTCCTTAGAGCGTGTGATGCTATATATACTTAAGCTCACTCCTTAATAATGAATGGTGATTCTTCCGATTAGCTTAGCGTGTTCGAAGAGTGGTTTTATCATTTATGGAAATAGGCAGAAGAACAAATTTGTGGGCTCAATGCATGGTTTTCCCAAGCATATGGGCAGTGCTAACTGTTGAAATTTAGTCACATGATCAAATATATACAAATTAAAGATGATATATATGATGCATGTTGTGGTATATGCTAGATTTTTTTTTTCTCAAACACAAAATATCTTACTCTTTTTATTCGTCTTAGAACAGTAGCGATGCTTATTCCGTCTTCTTGATTGAAAAAGTAGCAATATCTTACTCTTTTTTGATTTTTGAATGAACCAAAATCTGGCATCTCTGCAAATTTTATTGTTGTCTTAATGGTACTCAGTGACACAGTAGTATTATGCAGCACAAATTTGAGATAATGTCTAGTCAGATTAGTACAGCTACCGTTAGAGAAAAGCAGTGATAATACACATGGTTTTGGTAACAGGAGCAGTGGAATTATGCATGAGGCTGTCTAGCTGTGTCACAAAAAACCAGGGACCAGGAAGAAGAATGTTTCTGTAAGGTGCAAAGAAGGTACCTCAACTTGGTTTTGAAGGAATTTGATATACCCGATGGCCTCCATTAGTACGGATGCTGTGTCAGTCTGCAATATTCTCCATTCCACGTGATTGGGAAAATAAAACAAATTACTTGTAGAAAACCAATAGATTCTTCGTGGTAAACGAAATTAATTAAGAACAAATTAACTAGATGCAATGCAACCTTAATGTTCTCTCTCCAAGCCATCCATAAGACAACCTTAAAGCTTAAGCATGTTGAGGAAGCATGCAGTTTTTTGGCTGTATCTAATGACTACTAAAATTCCTGATCCACACCCTTTAGTCAGATGGTACTTAAATTAGGCTTTAGCGCGTGATTGGGAAAATCAGCAGAATTTTCGTCCTTGTACATATGATAGATCTACTTCAATGCCCCAGAAAGTAATCAACATGTTGGAATCACAATCAGCAGATGGCAACTCCGAAGTGCAAAGCTCTAACAGCTGTTCATCAATAATATGCCAATCTATGATTCTACGGCTATGACAACTTTTATGCTTTAATGAAGTCTTTCGATGATTAAACGCCAATTACTTTGCAAGATAAAGAAGTACCTTGCCAAAGGGTGCTACCAACTGTTGAAGAGCTGCAATTCTGTCTCCTAGCTTTTCTTTTCTGACCTGGTTCAAATGACAAATCATATACCGTGAATATATGAGAATCATGTGATGGTTAAAAGTAGTCTCAATTAACAAAAGTTATGGCGGATTAATTCCAACTTGTAGTATCAAATTATTCTACATGCAAACTTTAATGCGACTCCTCGAAATAAGTTGAATTCCTTTTGGCATTTACTTATTCTCCTTGACAATATACTGAAACAACTTCTTTACTCAGATTTAAACATTCTTACTGTTTAGATTATTGCTATATTTTGGAATTTTTATAGAAAAATGTATTGTAACAATTTGATATATGTGAGATAAAAAGGTGATTGAAAAATGTGTTCACAGAAAAACATAAAAAATTTTCAATGAAAAATCACAATCCAAATAATGACTTCTCTACTCTTATTGAATGTAAAATATTCATCAGAAGCAAACTGTCAAAAACCAAAATCTATCATATTAAATTATGACAAATAGGATAATTTCAGGGTATAAAATTCTTCTTCTTCTTCTTCTCTCCTCTTTTTATTTTTTTTCATTTTGGAAGAAATTTAAGGGTATAAGCTCATTTAGTCTAATGTAAACAAAAGCATTTCTATGATGATACCTAAATAATAGTTCATTACCTTAAAGGGTGGGCAGGAAGCTCGGGACTCTGATCTTGATCTCTTCGGTGCTGCTTGAGGTACCTTTGGTTCCAGACTAATGTCGGACCTTTTTGTTTCCGTTACTCCATAGCTTAAGGGTGTTATCTTCAATAAACAATAAGCAAAACTTAGCTAAATAATTCTAGGTAGACATCATATCAAACTCGAATCAAAAGGGCGGAATTTCTAAAAGAAGTTAACGGAAAAGGAAAGGAGAAAAAAAAAGATCGGTACAAAGTATAAAGCTGATCAAGTAGCCTTTAATTACAGAAAAAGAAGAAGCTTTTCTTTTGATTAGGGATCATTTTATTCAAAAGAAATAGGAAAAAATTCTCACTTTTATTTTTTTTCCTGGTCAAATCATCCAAGGGAAATCTAGTGTAGTATACGAATCTCGTCTGTTCTCTTACCAGTCTTCAAAATGACTGTACATAAATGCTTCTATCAGAATATTTACTATTCATGTCTAAAATTGTCACGTCAAACGTTGGCAGATGGACAAAAAAAAAAGAAAAGGGAATACATCCGAGCAAAAAGAAAAGGTAACCGAAATCATGTTAAGAATCTATCCCATTTTGGATAAAGGCTGATTTTTCCAGAGGAACTACCATGCTCAACACGAACTAAAAGAGGTAGTTAATTTAACATCTCATGAACTATATGTTTACTATCGATATAGAAATTAGTGTATACATGAATCACCATTTGGCCAGGAAACGACACATGCATGCGTAGAATTACTTCAAATTGGAGCCGTAGGAAGATACACAAGGGAAAAAGAACACACTCACATTGCTAGGTTCCGATATTGGCATTGGAATTGATTGACTCAAGTAATCATATCCGTAAGAAAGGCTTCCATTCTTGGAAAGACCGAGCTGATCTACCATAGGCAGGCAAAAAATCCCACTAAATCTTGCTGAATTTACGAGATCCAAAGCCTGGGAATTCATATGGAACGAGCTAGAGTTCGCCAAAGATGTTTGATTAATCTCTGAGACGTTTATGGTAGGATATATCTGACTGAAGGTTCCTCTTTTAGGTGTAGCTCCCAGACTTGAGCTAGAAGAAGTACTACAGTACAATTCCCCGGGACAAGATCGATGAAAATCATTATTTCGATCTCCAGAAGACAATGATCTAAGCAAAAGCTTAACATTTGGATCGTTTATTTCCCTGTACTCGCTCCTTCTATAATCAGTGGCCTGAATTGGTAGCTGTACGTCTTCTACGCTTGATGATGGGCTGCTAATCATTTCGCTAAAATTTGAGTAGGACTCTGAAAACTCTCGCTTAATCATCTCAAGCTGCAAATCATGGGAAGACTGATTGGTGAAATTATTTCCTCTACTACCATTAGCCCAGCTGAAGCTGAAGTCTTGAGTCATGGAACCATTGAGAGAAGACACAAGGATATCGTTTTCCAGCCTTGGGTTTCTTGAATTTAGGATGGCCGTATTTGCAGCTGAACCAAATCCAGCGCTATTCCTACAAAAGAGATTATAGAAAGAAAAAAAAATTCAGTGGAGCTAAGAACCCTAAACCCTAGTTAAGTGAAAGCAATAAAGAAATAGCTTAAAACTCAAGAGTGGTTTGGTGATTCCTTCACTCATATTTTCTTCCACACACTCCAGTGGACTGCATAAAATCATAAGCCTTTTTCTTTTTTGGCATTTCCCGAATTCAAGAGTTCAAGAAAACATGAAAAAGTTAAGTTCGAGCTTGAAAGCACTTTTTGAAAGACGTACGTACAAAATATAAATCAATAGAGAATGTGAAAAAAAAGGGAAAAGAAGAGATAGATTCCAAGTGCGATGAACAATCATAATGGTGTAGTAAAGTAGCCAAAATATCATCATTACCTCATGTAAAGTAAACTTAGTTGTGGGCTTAATTTGTTGGCGAACGTTTGTATCTTTTAGAGAGAGAGAGAGAGACTTACAAGTTGGTGTTTGGGGTCCAGGCATGAGAGCTTAGGGCAGCACCAAAACCTGAAGCGCCTAAAGTAGTAGTAGAAGTAGAAGTAGAAGAAGAACCAACAAGCTGATGACCTTGAAGAGGATGTTGTTGTTGGAGGTGGCGGTGGTGATGAGGGATTTTTGAAGTAGATTCCATTATGAGAATAATGATACTGATATATATTTAAATCACGTGAAAATCCCAAGAAGTAACTGAATTAATTTAAGCAGGAAATGTAATCAAATCTAAAGAAATCCTTGCTAGCTCTAAGCAAAGAAACACTAGTTCTTGATCAGGTGTCACCCACAATCATACCTTGCTTTGCTTGCTTTTAGCAACTTTTCATAGTTTTCCTCTTTACTCTTTCAAAGTCCCTTCTTAAAGCAGCCTTGAAAAGAAAGAAAGAAAGAAAGAGGACTTGAAATGAATAATCTTTCTGCTCAGACCTTCAACACTCTCTTTCGATGAATATATTTATATATATTTTTTCCCTTTCACTTTTCAGTCAACTTTTCGGACCATCTCACACACAAAATAAATAACAATATCATCTCTCTTTCCTTTTGCTCTGTGAACTATGGTGGCACTTTTACACTCTGCAATTACAGGAGGATGATTATGGTTTCCCTACGCGATGATTAAGATCTCTGCCTTCGATCCCAAGGCTTTCAACAAAAGTCTGAGGAGGGAAATGATGGTGGTCATGCCTTCTCTCATAGCCACATGTTCTAGGCCTTTATATTGTATTCGGTTGGTATCTAATGGAGGCAAGCACACAGGAGCCCCAAAGGGTGGATAGATAATGGACATCTTGGTCTGGCTCCTTTGTATTCTCCTCCTCAATGAATCCTAGTGGTCCATGTATCGAAAGGTAAACACAAACGAGGGAAAAAGAGAGAGAGAAAATAGAACAAGGACAAGGTAATAAACATTTAAAATGTAATTGCAAAAGAGAAAGGATAAAGCTAGAAACTTAATTGCGTGTAGCATTTCATTTGCTAATACGTACTAATGGCGTTACTTTTTTAACTACAAGTAAAGCCAGCAGTAAATCCTTATAGCCCTCCTCCATCCACTTTGGTTCAAGCCTTTTATTTCTTTTCCCCTAGCTAGGCTTCTAGCCTTATGCTTCTGTCATATCTATACAATAACAAAGATGTGCGCATCATTAATTTAATTTTTAAATACGCCATGGACAAAATCTTATAATGTTTCGAACCTCAAATGTTGCCTTTAAGATCATAGAAGATTAATATTATTTCACCAGCTCTAATGGAAATATTTAGGTGAATTATCAAAGCATTGAAATAGATGTTGCAACTCCTTTTCTTTTTCCCCCCAGAAAAGTAAGAGACGCCGAGTTCTTACCTTGTGGTCTGGCTTAATTATCAGGCGAAAGCTAGCTTCAGTACTTTTTTTTTTTTTTTTTCTATATCCTTCAAATTTCCAACAATCTCTTTTGCAAATGTTGGTGAAAACTCTAGAATTCTTCAAGTACCTTTTTCCCGCAACGAGCTTAATTAGTGCTAGCTTAAAAGACACGTTCCAATGTACCACGAACGCAAAAGGATTCCATTTGGCCACAAAAAAACAATGAGACGGGGGATTATCCAGTAAGACTAATAAATAATAATGAGTAAGAGTTTTGTTTTTTTTTCTGGCGATTTCTTCAGTTACGTACAGGAAAGATGTGCGCATATATAAAGAACTCTCGTCAACGAATTGTGAAAGTCTTCGCGGAGCGATAGAGTGGCAATAGACCCAAGAAGAGTGAACATGAAAAACATATTTGTGGGGGGACCATTGAGAACTGAAAAGGCCACATTTTGTTATTGTACTTGATGGCATTATTACTCCGCAGGAAATCCCACGCTATGCAAGGACAGCAATTTGATGATCATAATAATGATGTCAAATTGACCTTCCTATGACGTCATCTTTCTCTTAGGTTTTTTCTGTGGATCAATTGTCCGGCCTCTTGCGGTGAAATGGTGTCCGCCCATGATCGTTTCTGACGCTGATCGAGTTGCATCGCTGCAGTCAAGCAGAGGAAGAATGAGATATATCGCACACGCAGGAAAAGGGATGACAGATGATGATTCTCTGGGCCGGTGTATACTCTGTTCAATGCTCACGAACATTTTATGGGGACACGGGCTAGTGGGATTGATCATCATATAAGTAGCTTATTCCTTCTGTTTACCAATTTCGAAAGAAGATTAAATGCTGCTTGTGGTTTTGGATCATCATGAAATACAAAATATAAATCAATAGAGAATGTGAAAAAAAAAGGGAAAAGAAGAGATAGATTCCAAGTGCGATGAACAATCCATAATGGTGTAGTAAAGTAGCCAAAATATCATCATTACCTCATGTAAAGTAAACTTAGTTGTGGGCTTAATTTGTTGGCGAACGTTTGTATCTTTTAGAGAGAGAGAGAGAGAGAGACTTACAAGTTGGTGTTTGGGGTCCAGGCATGAGAGCCTAGGGCAGCACCAAAACCTGAAGCGCCTAAAGTAGTAGTAGAAGTAGAAGAAGAACCAACAAGCTGATGACCTTGAAGAGGATGTTGTTGTTGGAGGTGGCGGTGGTGATGAGGGATTTTTGAAGTAGATTCCATTATGAGAATAATGATACTGATATATATTTAAATCACTTGAAAATCCCAAGAAGTAACTGAATTAATTTAAGCAGGAAATGTAATGAAATCTAAAGAAATCCTTGCTAGCTCTAAGCAAAGAAAACACTAGTTCTTGATCAGGTGTCACCCACAATCATACCTTGCTTTGCTTGCTTTTAGCAACTTTTCATAGTTTTCCTCTTTACTCTTTCAAAGTCCCTTCTTAAAGCAGCCTTGAAAAGAAAGAAAGAAAGAAAGAAAGGGGACTTGAAATGAATAATCTTTCTGCTCAGACCTTCAACACTCTCTTTCAATGAATATATATATTTATATTTTTTTTTGCCCTTTCACTTTTCAGTCAACTTTTCGGACCATCTCATACACAAAATAAATAACAATATCATCTCTCTTTTCTTTTGCTCTGTGAACTATGGTGGCGCACTTTTACACTCTGCAATTACAGGAGGATGATTATGGTTTCCCTACGCGATGATTAAGATCTCTGCCTTCGATCCCAAGGCTTTCAACAAAAGTCTGAGGAGGGAAATGATGGTGGTCATGCCTTCTCTCATAACCACATGTTCTAGGCCTTTATATTGTATTCGGTTGGTATCTAATGGAGGCAAGCACACAGGAGCCCCAAAGGGTGGATAGATAATGGACATCTTGGTCTGGCTCCTTTGTATTCTCCTCCTCAATGAATCCTAGTGGTCCATATATCGAAAGGTAAACACAAACGAGGGAAAAAGAGAGAAAGAAAATAGAACAAGGACAAGGTAATAAACATTTAAAATGTAATTGCAAAAGAGAAAGGATAAAGCTAGAAACTTAATTGCGTGTAGCATTTCATTTGCTAATACGTACTAATGGTGTTACTTTTTTAACTACAAGTAAAGCCAGCAGTAAATCCTTGTAGCCCTCCTCGATCCACTTTGGTTCAAGGCTTCTAGCCTTTTATTTCTTTTCGGCCCTAGCTAGGCTTCTAGCCTTATGCTTCTGTCATGTATACAATAATAAAGATGTACGTATCATTAATTTAATTTTTAAATACGCGATGGACAAAATCTTATAATGTTTCGAACCTCAAATGCTGCCTTTACGACGATCATAGAAGATTACTGTTATTTTACCAGCTCTAATGGAAATATTTAGGTGGTTAGACAATTTTGCAATGTGGTGAATTATCAAAGCATTGAAATAAATGTTGCAACTCCTTTTCTTTTTCCCCCCAGAATGGTAAGAGACGCCGAGTTCTCACCTTGTGGTCTGGCTTAATTATCAGGCGAAAGCTAGCTTCAGTACTTTTTTTTTCTATATCCTTCAAATTTTCAACAATCTCTTTTGCAAATGTTGGTGAAAACTCTAGAATTCTTCAAGTACCTTTTTCCCGCAACGAGTTTAATTAGTGCTAGCTTAAAAGACACGTACCAATGTACCACAGACGCAAAAGGATTCCATTTGCCCACAAAAAAACAATGAGATGGGGGATTACATATCCAGTAAGACTAGTCAGTGAGAATTTTGTTTTCTTTTTGGCGATTTCTTCAGTTACGTACAAGGAAGATGTGCGCATACAGAACTCTCGTCAACGAATTGTGAAAGTCTTCGCGGAGCGATGGAGTGGTAATAGACCCAAGAGGAATGAACAAGGCGCCATGATAACATGAAAAACATATTTGTGGGGGACCATTGAGAACTGAAAAGGCCACATATTGTTGTTGTACTTGATGACATTATTACTCCACAGGAAATCCCACGCTATGTAAGGACAGCAATTTGATGATCATAATAATGATGTCAAATTGACCTTCCTATGACGTCATCTTTCTCTTAGGTTTTTTCCGTGGATCAATTGTCTGGCCTCTTGCGGTGAAATGGTGTCCGCCCATGATCGTTTCTGACACTGAGTTGCATCGCTGCAGTCAGGCAGAGGAAGAATGAGATATATCGCACACGCAGGAAAAGGGATGACAGATGATGATTCTCTGGGTGTATACTCTGTTCAATGTTCACGAACATTTTATGTGGACACGGGCTAGTGGGATTGATCATCATATAAGCTTATTCCTTCTGTTTACCAATTTCGAAAGAAGATTAAATGCTGCTTATGGTTTTGGATCATCATGAAATTAATAAGGTTCAAAAAAGGGCAAATTATCCAATTGGCCCTTGAACTCTTTGTCTAGGTAAAAATAAGTTCCTCATCTATTTTTTGCTGACTTTAAGCCCTCAAACTTGTAAAATTGGACACCCGTGACCCTTTTAGCCAGTTTCTCTCGATTTTGCAACCGGAAGGCCAATTCACACGAATGCCAGCGTGCTTCTTCAAAGGGTATTTTTGTCCGCATCTTCTAAACAAAAATGGAACAACTCCTCCTTCTTCCCTCCATTTCTGCAAAACCCTCGTTGCCGCCGCTTTCTCTTCTTCTCATTCTCTGCAGGAGAGTGATACCACCACTCTCAGGAATCTCCCCACTAGCAGAATCATAGCTATTCCTTCGACTGCCCAATTCTCCCCCACTCTGGACACCAGTCCTATCAAAATTAGACGCTAAAACACTATTCTCATCCAAACCTTCCAGTGGAGATGCCATTGCAGCCGCTATTCTCGGCGAGACCACCATAGTTGTCTCCGGCGAGACCACCATATCCATAAGCGCAGGGAGTAGGAGCGAGTTCAAGTGAAGAGATCACACAGCAATTGCAATGAACCAGCCCCAAACTCAGATTATATGCTGCAGACTCGATATATGATCCCCTGTACACTTTCCCTTCGGGATCCATCAGGGCCACCCCGAATAGGCACCTGCTATACGGTGCATGTGA